GGCCTGAGCCGTCGTCGCCTTGCCCTCGCGTTCCGACGGCCACCATGCCTCCTTCTTGCCCTCTCTGCCTGCTGCCGCAGCTGCGCCCGCCGCGGCGTGTGCGGTATTGCCGCCGCCAGCAGGGCCAGCGCCAGCGTTGTGCTTGTCCGGCACGCCAATGACTGCGCCTTCGAGGATGCGCAAGAGCGACTGCTGCACTCCTTCGCCCGACACGTCTTTTGTGGCAGTGTCGCCGGGGCGACGCGCAAGTTTGTCCTGTGTGTGCAACGATGCGCCTCTCGTCATTTCGAGCCCCACCCACGCCGCAAAAAGAGAAAGCCAGGCGGAAAGAGAGAGGAGGGGGGGAGGGGCGGGGGTGCACTCACCACCTCATCAATCACCACGATGCCCATGCCCGCCCGCTTGGCATCGCCGCCCGCAGCGGCCAAGAGGCGCGCCACGATGTTCTCCGCATCCTCGCCCACGTAGCCCGCCTGCGTCAGCGGGGTGGCGTCGACGTGGAGAAAGGGCAGCTGGAGGCCTTTGGCGAGCGTCGCACAGAGAAGACTCTTGCCGGAGCCGCTGGGCCCCAGAAGGAGCACGTTGGGCCGAGGCAGCGGCGTTTCGTCCGCGAGAGCCGCGGAGGCGCGGCGACGAGAAGGACGTGCGGCAGCGGCAGATGGAGCTGAGAGAGGCGTCACCTCCTCGTCGGAAGAGGCTGAAGAACGGAGGCTGGAGGCAGGAGGCCGCATGGCTCGTGCCATTGCGGAACTGAAGAACTCTACGCGCTCTTGCGCTGTTTTTTTGCAGAGGCAATTAGGCGACGGAACGAGCAACCCGAGCCGCTAAAGGCATGTCATGTTTGCCAACTCACCAGTGAGCATGCCTTGCCGCTCGCGCTCCTGCGGCTGCGTCGTGCCAGCCTTCTGTCCCACCCAGTCGGAGAGAATGTCGTAGTGTCCACTCCTCTCCCTCTCCGTCTCTCTTTCCCTCTCCATCACCCTCTCTCTCTCCCTCTGCATCTCCCTCTCCTTGAGCGCCGCGGCGTTCTGCTGCTGTGCCATCTCGGCGCGCTGCCGTTGTTGTTGCGCGACGACCCTTGCCGCCGCCTCGGCCGCCGCCGCTGCCGCGTCGGCGGCCTGCTCCTCGACGCGCAGGCGCACGAGATGGTTGTGCAGGGCGACGCACAGCGCACGCTTGGCGCCCGCCTGGCCCACGACGTAGGCGTCGAGATGTGCGAGCAGATCGCGCGGTGTGGGCAGAGGCGGCAGCAAGGAGGTGGAGGAGGCGGCGGAGGTGCGAGAGGAGGAGGCGCTCGCTTGGGACATGGAGGACAGCGAGCGACGTGCGGTGACGGCGGTGGTGGTGCGGGTGCCGCTGGTCGAAAACGAGCTGCTGCTGCTGCTGCTGCTGCTGTGCCGCCCTTTGCAAGACGGCAGCAGCGCGGACAGCACGGCGCTGCGGCGTACGCCTGCGCCTGTGCCTGCGCCGGCAACGTGCGCCACGGCCAGGCGCGAGAGACCCGAGCGGCGCAGCATGGCGAATGACGCTGCTTGGTGCGCGAGGGCGGAGGTGAAGGGATGGGTGGAGGAAGGAAGCGGCGAGCCGCGCGATGACTCGGCCAGCCGGGCTCGCTTCCCCGCGGGGCGCGGCGTGAAGGCGTCCTGTCGGTGCCCGATGCCCGGCGCGCGTGCGCTTGGACCACCGCCTGCGGTGGGGGCGCTGGAGCATTCGGCGCCGCCTTTGCCTGCAGAGCCGCCGCCTCGCCTCCTTTGCCTCTTCTTCGCACTTGCTGCCTCTAGAGCGCCAGCACCTCTGCCTTGACTGTGCCTACCTCTTCTCTGGCGGCTGACGGCGGCTGAAGGTAAAGAAGAGGCGAGGCGCCGTGGGCCTCATCCATGAGCCCAGACACCAGACACCGCACCCGCCGACTTCGATCGCTAGGCTTCAGGGGGCGCTGTGAGAGGCACGCACACGCGCGCGGTGCCCCCTTTGTGCCTCTCGCCGCTGATGTGCCCTGGGGAAAGGGGAAGCAGCCTCGTCTCCCCGCCGCGCGCCTCCCGTCTCGACCTGCAGCTGGGCTCTGCCTCTCCCGCTTCCTTTCTGCCCTTGCAAGGCGCCTTGAAGCACTTGTGCCTGCCGATGTGCGGCTCCCTCTTCCTCGCAGCCCCTCGTGAAGCTGAGCGCACGCGCGCAGCAGCAAAAGCATAGATGCGCTCTCGCCGCCCTCATGCGAAGCTGGCGGCTGCAGGGGTTTCAAGGCACCCTCGAACGAACAGACGCGTCTTCGCGCTTGCAGCCCTCGCGGCGCGCCTCGAGCGCGGGCGCAGCAGATACAGCGGAGAGGAAGGCAGCGGCAGGGCGCGGCGCCTGTGCCTGAAACGCCGCGGCGGAGGGGAAGCGCCGCGCTCCGGCGGCTTGCGGCTGCGGGGGGGCTTGTCTGTGGCGCTTTCTAGCGCCTTTCGCCCTCACTGCGCGCGAGAGGGCTCGTCTCGCTCTCTTGCGCTCTCTCTCTCTCTCTCTCACACACCACCAATCCCTCGCCTCTCCCTCTCCGCACCCGGCCATGGCCAACGTCTCCTCGCTGGCCGCACGCGGCTGCGCCTCGTGCCCCGCGTCCGTCTGTCCCACATGCGCCGTCGGGCAGATGTGTCAACAGCTCTTCCGTCCGGCACTCGACTGCACTGCCTGTCCCTCCAACATCTGCGTCGTCGATCCTTCCTACCGCGCCCCCAACCGCGCGCCCATCGGCGGCGCCGTGGGCGGTGCACTGGGCGCGCTGGCACTCAGCGCCGTGCTGCTCATGGCCTGGAGGCTGAGACGCAAGAAGCTCAGCGAGAAGCAGAGACAGATGCGTCTCGATGCCAAAGTGAGAGCGGCAGAGGCAGAGCAGTTTCGACCGAAGCGCAACAGCAAGGGCAGCAATGCCGCCAGTGCCGCTGCGGCCTCGAGAGGCGCAACGACGGCGCACGAGGAGGAGCAGGAGGAGGAACTGGCCGAGGATGTCGAGTGGACGCAGATGCGCCCCGATGGCCTCACCACGTTCGTCTCGCCGCCCGGCACCGGCGACGATGACATCTCCCTCGACATGTCGGCACTCGGCACCGACGCGGGCATGAAGCGCCGCTCGACGGGCGCCGCGACGCATCTGTCACGCATCACCGAGGGCCAGGAGGAGGAGGAGGAGCGCCAGAAACGGCTGTCGATGCTGTCTGTTGCACGTGATGCGAATGCGCGTTACTCGAGAGCGCCCCCATTGCCCAACCAGAGGCCCGTCGGCGCCGAGCATGGCAGAGTCGGATCGAGCAGTTCCATCTCACTCGCTCCTGCCGCCCATCGCGCCTCGTACCTCTCCACGGCATCCGGCTTCTCCGGCCCGCAGTCCGCATATGCGCCTCATCACGCCAACAACCCCTTCGCAGACGGCGCCTCGATCCGCTCGGCAAGCAGCGGCGCAAGCAGCGGCGGCACGCACATCATTCCCATTCTCTTCTCGCCGCCGGGCTCGGCGGGCCTGGACGGCGCGGGCAGCGTGCGCTCGGGGCGCAGCAGCGGCGGTGCGGAGGAGGAGATGCACGACGCTTCTGCGAACGTCTCTGGGGATTGGAGGGGGGGATCAGGCGGGGTAGCTGCGCACGGTGCGCACGGCAACAACGCCACTCCCCCCTCTGCTCCTGCGCGCGCAGCCCGCGCAACCGGTGCGCCCCTCGTGCAGCTCTCGCAAGGCCGCAGTTCCCCACAACGCGCCGGCTCGCACCCCTCCCGTCCCGTGCGTTCTCCCGAGCTCAACCTCCGGCTTAACGACGCACGTCAGCCTCTCTCTTCCCCCACGCATGACTTCCGCAACCTCGACCCCAGCACTCAGCCCAACTTTCCCTCGGCGCTCGCTGCGTCCAACGTGTATGCGCGTCAAGAGCGTCCGCTGAGCACGGCGAGCGGCATGTCCGTCGCGACTGCCGCCACGGGAGCGACGAGCGCGACGACGGGCACGACGAACTACGCGCGCCAGCCTCATCAGCTGCACTCTCTCGCCGAGGGCGGCGGCGTCAAGCGCGTGCAGCTCGGGCGCGCCGCCGCACAGCTGGTGCGCACGCCCAGTGCTGCTCGCCGCGCGGCAGCTGCGGGCGGAGGAGGAGGAGGGCAAGCGTCGTCGCCGAGGGGCGAGCGAAGCGATCCATTCAGCGATGTGCACTCGCCCACGGCGTCTTCGCCGCTTCCTCTCAGCGGCGGCGGCGAGTTGCACGCCTCGCAGTCGCACTCGCAACGGCCGCAGTCCAACGCATCGAGCATTGCGGGCCTGAGCGTCTTCGACGGCATTCCCTTCATGCATTCGCCGACTGAGCCGATGCCGATGCCCGCTTCGCCCGCCGCCTCGCACTTCGATCGGCAAGAGCAGCTGCGCACGCCCACCGCCGCCTCCTCGTCTGCACTCGCGACGGCGAGACAGCGCACGCCGAGTCCGCACTCGACGACGTCGCAGCAGCGCAAAGAGCCAGTCTCGACGGGCGCAAAGGCCGACGTGGAGAGCTTGAGACTGCAGCACGAGCTCGACGCTTTCCCTTTCAAGCCGCTGGCGCCCAGCCCGACTGGCTCGCGCGCTTCATAAAGGCACACACACACACACACGGCCAACTTCGCGCAGCTCGTAGCAAGGATCGCGCGGCCGATCGATCGGGCTTGCGCCTGGGGCTCTGCATTCTTCCGCGTTCTCTTCCTCCACCCCTCTTACTCTTCGACCCGCAAGCGCCGGGCCGCTCATCTTGACCCCTTTCACGTGTCGCTTCGGTCTCACTTGCCCGACGCTCTGGTCGTTCAAGGCTTCGACCTATCTCCTCTCCAATCGCCCCCCTTCGGCATCCACGCTCGCTGTCCGTGCCCGGCCGCCACACTGTACTTGCGCTCTTTCCGCCGCCCCCAGTCACCTCTGCCGCGCGCGCGCCATTGCTCGAACCTACACCGTGCTTTCAGCCCGTTGCACGCCTAGT